GTGGTTGGAGGCAATCGGCAAGAAGCCTCGCTCAACCTAGTTTGCTTGCTAGTTGTCACTCACCAGTCAGCAAGGTGAATCTACAACCTTGAAGGAACTCATTTTCCTTCTGAGATTCGAACCCGCGTCACCCAGTGCTGCAGTCAGAGACATTACCACTGAGCTATTCCGGCTCGTGATCGACATTCTGCAGGACTGTAGTGGGTATTTTCGTTGGACGCTAGTAGCCAGTGTGACGCGTCTAGTCCTTTCTTTGGTGCAGATGGAATTCTATCAGGCTTCCTACCGGTTGCCTCCAACAATCTAATATCATCAAATCAACGTCCACCGTGATGGCAAACTAACTATAATGGAAGCCACATTGCAAACCTGACTGATAGAATTTAGTCTGCACCAAAGAAAGGACTAGACATGTCACACTGGTTACTAGCGTCCAATGAAAATACATTACCATTTTGTTTGAACGTCACTTGTGATATAATCTTTCTAGGTAAACTTTGTTTATGCCGCAAATTTCATAAATCTATCTTTTTCAACGAATATTCGTCCAGTTTTCCTGTACACAGTCAATCATTTTGACGGTTCATATTTTAACGACTCATATCGTTACTAATAGTTCCTATAAGTTATTCTTTGTCATGGTGTAAAGTATTCACTATAATTCATACTTTTGTATTATTCCACGTGAAGTTAGTTGACACGAAACCGCCAAATAACAGTAAAGAATGATCTCATAGTGTCCAACTGTGGCATGTGCTACTGATAAAAAGACGTTCATCGGCACATAAAAATATCAAATAGCTGAGTGATAGATTTGATATCAAAGAGAGGAAATGAAGCAGTACTGCTGCAAAACACGGAGGACACAAAGACAAGAAGACAAAGAAACACATACAATACAAAGAGCAGAAATGGCAAAACACAGGAGATCTGTGCAAACGACGATTTTCAAATTAGGTGTGCATAAATATGATGGAGAAGACTTGTAGCTCATGTGGATGGTTTTGATGTGATTGTGTTCTCTGACCTGGATAGTTAATTTGCGAAGCTTTCATCGCCCTACTGAGTGACATCTTCAGCGCATACTTCAGTTGATTGAAGTGAGCCTTTAGATTTCTCTACGAGTTTATTAGTCATCTTTCCTGGTGACCTGGAACATCGTGATTGGTTGTTTTTGTGTGTTTTCACACCATCTAGGTTACTTATATTGGAACTGGTTGTTGCCTTGACTTGAGCTCTGACCCTTTGTGTGTAAGATTTACTTCTTATCGATTGGCAGATTTCGTCTATCTCGATGTGTCTATTGACTGATGATTCACTGGAATACCAAGCGGGCTTCTAAAAATTCTCTAGCATTTTTGGTGTTTCCTGTAACTAATATTTGAACGCTGGTTGTCCCAGGCGAATTGATGTCCGTGGTTGTTTGTCCTTCATATCACTAAACATCAAAAATGCTAGAGACATTTTACAAGCCTGGTATTCTAGTGAATTATCAATTAATAGGCACATCGAGATGGACAAAATTTATCAGTCGATTAGAAGGAAACCTCACACACAAAGGGTCAAAGTTCAACTCAAAGAAACAATCAGTTCCAATACAAGTAGCCTAGGGGATGTGAAAACACACAAGAAACCAGTCACGTTGGAGGTCACCAGGAGAGGTGACTAATAAAATCGTGGTGAAATCTAAAAGCTCACTTCAATCAATTGAAGTACGCGTTGAAGATTTTGCCTAGTAGGTGGCGATGAAAGCTTCGCAAGTAAACGATCGAGCACATATAACACAACCACATCAAAAAGTGTACATAATTTCCCTTTATAGAGATACCGAATTCCAAATAAACATTCCGTTACCAAGTCTCTTGTCTGCAACTGTCATACTACTACACATTTGTCGTTCCTCCTGTGTCCAAGTTTACCATTAAGAGTCCGTGAAATTTCAGTTTATCCCTTTAGAGTTTCGAATCAACCAGTAAATAGTTCATTGGCATCACACTATGCCTCACTACTCTACAGATGTTCGCACATGCACCTGTACCTCAAAGCGATACACTACAGATTAAGTGATTGCAATAGACTGGACGGAAATATGGTTCATTATTCCAACAAATTGTCAGTTAGAATGCTCGACTAATTACCCCTCTCACTTTGGAGGGACTATTCCATATAGACACTATCTCGTCTTAAAACTGCGATGATGGTAATAATAATAGTGTTGGAAAGCGTAAGCAACAGAACAATCAGACAATATTTACGTATGCAATTACAGGCTATTTCATTAAACAAAGAACAAGGGACTTACAATAGGTGTATCATTGATACAGAGGTGTGATTGTCAAAAACCTGGATTGTTGATAGATGGAAATGACGAGTTGAAATGAATATTGTAAAAAGTAACCAGAATAGGTAACTTGTCATCTTGTGTTTACTTTGTCACAGCTATAAAACAATGTGAAACACAGTTTTATGATAACTTGAATAACACTTACATGTTCACTGAAGCATACTGGTTAAAAGTATATTTCGCTGTTAAAAGATAATTGAACATTCAGGCTACACCTTAGTAGGAGTTCTTTAAGACGCTCCGTGGGTATACCGATGTTTATTCCTTTGGAGTGAATAAGTTCGCATGTATAGCATATTGTTTCAGTCAGTGGAACGTTTGTGAATAGTGATATGACATCTAATGAAATCATGGTCTTATTGGATACGCTGATGTTTTCGATTGAGTCGATAAAGTCGGATGAATCTCGAACTGTGTGGCAGGAAACTTGTCTTCTGAGTGGTTCTAGTAGGTCTGCTAACCATTGGGCTGTGCGGTGATAAGGTGAATTGGTCATGTCGAGGATCAGTCGAAGAGGGATACCCTTATGGAGTCCGTAAAGTCAATATACCCACCGAGCGTCTCAAAGAACTTTTTCTTCTGAGATGTACCCTGAATGTTCAATTCTCTTTTAACAAGGAACTATATAGCCAAAAGGACGGTATAGCTATGGGCTCACCACTAGGCCCATTGCTTTCAAATTTCTTCATGGCAAAACTCGAAAACACAAATATTGGTTAAAAGTACATTTCGTGTGGAGTGTAACAGTAATAAGTATGACTAATGTTTACGGGCACAGTCAACGCCTTTCAAATGAATTCGAATTAACGCGTAGAATTTACATAACTAAACTGCTTATCAACTGGTAATTTATTTAGATGGAACTTATTTCGACCTATGCAATTTAAACGTTGATTATGCTAATTAGGTAAAGAGGAGATAAATGGGCTGTGCAGCCTAACGTACAGTGCTTCAAAAGGGTTTTCTCAGCTACTTTACTGTCCTGTAGACTGATAGTTACCTCAGAGAGAACTTCAACAACTTCAACTGTGCGTCGGTGGCACAGTGGTTAGGACTCTCGCCAACCATGAACATGGTCCGACGTTCGATCCCCTGCCGGCGCACACCTGATATCTATGGTCGGCCTGTAAAATTTGGGTTACCGATATCCATGCTGAAAATTCCATACTTGTACCAAAAATACAGTGTGGAATCAAGCTGTAATCAAAAAACTTTTACAGTTTTCTATGCAGATATTGTTCTGAAGAATCAATCCACAGACATTCGACTTTAAACTACTTCTCCTAGCATCAAACTACATTGTCTAATACACTAAGCTTGTAATTTACATCGACAAAAATCAACGTCTTTAGCAGTACTGAAGACAAGATTAATTTATGATTCAACATTTTCAACTGAAATACACCCTATTCACAGAACATCTTTTTGTGGTTTCACAATTCTATCCATCCAATGTCAAAGACAACGCTAGACGGGGTCTAAAGAAAGTACTATTGTGTACGCTATTTATTCATCAGTTTACATCCCTAATTATCACTAGCAATGGGATACAGCATACTCGTAAATGCTCCCCGACAGTTCGAATGCATGGTACTTGAATACAAGTTAAAAAGTAAAGCACTTTCGATGTAATAATCTATACATACTACAATAAAAATCATGGAAATACCATTTTTGTATACTTAATGTTGATATCTGTTGCTTAGGTGTAAGTATCAAACAAAAATTATTGCTTAAGACACTATGAGCAACTCTCAAGCCGTTCAAATAAATACTTCGGTTAAAAAGGAATCGATTCCAACCTCATAATTGGATGTACAAGGGACTGCCTCATTACAATTACCGTCATCGTCAGAATGACCTATAAATCCTCCCATAGCCGTATCTTAGAAGAAAACTTATTCAATAAAAAAATAATCTGAGCAGCATACGGAGAGAGAAGTCTTTGGATATTTTTTATTCCTTCACGTTCCCAGTGGAAGATAGGGCTTCAAGCTGGTGGCTTGAAGTTTCCGTAGTAGTGGGGCTTATTTTCACAGGATGGGGTAGGTAGCCTCTTGCCCAATTTTCCTTCTTTACCAGTCATATAACTGGCTTACCGGGGTACAGGAGTGCGTCTGTGGACGAAGATCGAACCCCAGACCACCTGTGGCGTGATTAGCGAGGATTCTAACGCTGCGCCCCTGACGCGAAGTCTTTGGATTGTGAGTACTTATCGGAACTGTTTTCCAGAGCTAAAATATTAATTCATTTAGTTGGATGGATAGATTTCTGCTTTGATAACATCTAAAGTATTTGAGGGTATTTTGAAAGGTCCAACATCAATTTATTCATCAAGATGCGAAAGTAGACCACTTCAACAAATATAAACATCCTTATTTCTATCCGACATACCGACAGATTCATCAAAAAAATCTATGAATTCGATGAGCAATATACTAGCCACTAATCCTTTTTTTCTCTCGTTTTTCTCTTACTACCCACTTCCAGGACAATCTCACTTGGTTAGCAAATATTAATTGATTTAATTTACCGGCAATACTTTTAACATCTACACTATACCTTATACTAAATATCGATTTATCAGCCAAGGTCACTTGTTGTTGTTAACCAATGACAACGAAGGCAAAAAAGAAAGTAAAGGCCAAAGCATATTGAATTTTCAGAAGTTTGTTTTTGTCCTATCTATATTTTGCTATTTACAGTGAAGCAAGAAAGAGAATTTGATGGTAATAATAGTAGTAACAATAATGATAATAATAATAACAATAATAATGGTTTTAATAAACAGGATGTAAAGAAAACTTGAAAAACTTGTTTTTAAATGTTTCAAAGATGGTCAGTCAGTCAGTCAGTCAGTCCTCACTTCCCCATTACTGAGTTCTTCTATGCGGTGAAAAAAGGATCACTCATATGTGTGTAAATTAATAAATAGAATGAATAAATGGTCGGCAAATTTGAAGAACAGAAGAACACAAAGCAAAGGATTTCTTAGGGTAACCATTTGCAGAGGTTTATACTTTAGAAATGAAAAATAACAATGGGAGCATTCCAATGAAAGACTAATAGGTGAGTGCTTACTACTATAATATGAAAAGGAGTAGTATTATTATTATTTTAATGGAAGGCAGTTTAAAATGGTAATAACAATAAAAGAAAGGTTATTTAGCAAAGCCAACTTAAATTTCATAGGTAATTATAAGCAGACTGTAGCTGAGCCTGTGAAAGATGTTACTGGAGGTGTGTTTGTGTATTTAATTTATGTATGCGTTCATATATGAAGAAGGTATGTGTGTACGTGGAAAGAATGTAAAGTGTCATAAGGTGATTAGAATTGAGATAATGTAACGCAGTGAGATTTTAACAAGCCTCCATCTTTGCCTGAATCAATAAATTACAAATAATGCATCCAAGAACCATCTCCAGCTAAATCTGTAGCCTTTGCATAACACGTTACACAATAATTTTGACCATGATTATTATCCCAAAACTGTTCACCAGTGTGCGTATCATAACGAATAGCAAACTGTGCCTTATCGCCTGGAACCATTGTATCAGGAAAAATTAGGCTAAATGAAAATCTATCCGTTACACCATCATATGAACCTTGAACATATGATGCAGTAGTATCGAAAAATGTGATCCAATTATTATAAGTAATGCGGACTGTTACTCTTTTTTCATAACCAAAGCTTTTCACTCTAATTGTACCAGTGAGTAAACACCGTTGCATATCAATATGACAATCCTCTAGGCAAACATTACTTGTTAACACTCGACGAATGAAATTCGAGGCTGTTCCCGGTTGAGCGAAACACAAACCGAATTGTTTTGCACCAATTTTTGCAATACATTCATCTGTATCCAACTGTAGATCGAAGGTGGCCGAAGCTGGTATTTTCGGTGGGGCTTCAGGGTCGAATACACGTCGTTCAGTGGCTAGATCCAGGCCTAAAGCATCAGCAAAGCGTACTGCTTTGGGTACAGGTACATCAGTTATAGTTCTACTCGATTTTAGTGAACTGCTACGTTTTGGTTTTACAGTTTCTGGTGTTTTATCTGTATCACTTGGCATGAAAAGTTGATTACCCTCAAACGGGAGAAAAGTTGACAGTTCACTTGGATTATTCATCCGATTACTGTGTACAAGGTGAGCAGGACTACGTTCTCTACTAGGTCGTTGCAGAGAATTTGGCACTGGTGAGTGTCTAGTTATACTGGGCTTCTGATTTCTCTCTTTATTTTTATTACTATTATTATTATTGTTACCATTATTATTGCTCAGCGTTTCTAATGAAGCAGAAGTCCTCCCTTTCTCTTCACTCAATACCTTCTCATTTGGAGCAGTATCTACCTCTAAAGGTGTATTATCAACGCATAAATTCGACATGGCCCAGGCTAGAGTTTGATCTGATTTACTAACATCCGGTAGATTTATATCAATATCCATAGTCTTATCATCAAAATATCCCGCTTGTAAACTATCTTCTTCTAGTGTACTTGGACTAAGTGGTGGAAAGGATTGATCAGAGGCACTACAATGCCCTGGAGAGGCACTAGCATCATCTGGTAAAGAAGAAGGTGTTATTTCAGAATTACATTTAGACATATGACTGTCAACTGTTTCAGACTGACAAGGTGCTGACTTACCCCAGGCATACATTTTGCGTAGATCAACAGGTACGCTTATTTCACTGGAATCTGATAGATTACGTGGCAATACAGAGTTTATTAATTCATTAACAAAACTGTCATGAGTTTCCTGATCAATTAGACCATTAACTGAATCACAATGGTATGAAGTTAATAGTGTAAAGGTTACAGGACCAGAAGTCTCTGTAGTGTCCAATTGTTCTGAATTTGAAAGAAACAGATCGGAATAATGATTCACTTGAGAATCAGTATTAGTACTAGTAGAATCAGTATTGATTGTTGCAGTGGTATGATTGTAATTTACAGCCTGCTTTGCACTATAAAAATATCCGTTTTTCAAAATAGATGATTCACCTTCAATTTTTTCAAGACAATCAACATCTGTTTTATTACTTTCCAAGGTATAATTTTCAGTGACAAATGGAATTTTGTTTTGTGTTTCAGCTATTTGTAGTCCTGATTCAATATCACAGTTTATTGTTAATGGTGAATAGGATGTAAAAGTGTTAGCTACGTGAGAAGTGTTCACTTCAGTTAATTGTATTGCATGGGCGTGATCGGTGTTAGTCTGTTCAACATCATTAGCAGTGTCACCGTTGATATTAGTTTCATTTTGATTTGAATCATTTGTAGTACTAATTTCACTAGGATCGATTAGAACTGATGTAATTGGCCAAGTTGTATCATACGGTGATGTGAATACAGGAATACTACATCCAAAAAGGCTTGTAATAGTTGACCATATAAACCATTTAATATACACCCACGTAGAAATATGAGGGCGTTGACCACTACTGGTTGATGCTTTAGTCTCTCTATCAACTTCTGAGTGTTCTGTTGTTGTTGTTAATGTGGATCCAGGTCCAGTTTGATCAGCAGTAGAGTTTAAGCTGTGATTCAAATGGTTAGTATCAGACATTAGCTAACCAGCATTTTGTGAATAACTTTTCCAAAAATAATTTCACCTATTTTTATCTTGAATAGTGGCATAGTTTTTTTATTTTTTAAATACAAAGCGTAGTAACAGTGTGATTGTTATTCGTATTTGTGCACAGAATTGTAGCTAACTGTGTATGATCACTTCAAAAGCACATTGGTCAGTTGGAAAGTAACAGTGTGGGTTACTCTTAGCAAAGCTTTCTATAGCAATAGTGTTGATGATGTTGATAATAATAACAATAAACATGGAAGTCAGACCATGATGTGATATTATGAACTAATACATTTTCTAAACACACAATCTATCTATCTATCTATCCATCCACCTATCAAAATCAACCAATAAGATTTTGAGGTCATCAACCCGACGGACAGCCACATTCTATAGGAAATGTTGTGTTCTGATTGGCTGATAAAATGAGTGGGAGTGTTTTGTACGACTGGGAAAACAATAACAATATCAAAATCAATGGCGAATTATCCTCTATTTTTTTTTGCTTTTAAGAGAAAAGAAAGGCATAGATGCTAGTTGTTGTTGTTTTTGTAATGCCACTAATTTGGGAACAGAATGAAGTAATTTTTTATACCTTAAAAGTGCATACACTCCAGAGGTGACTTCAGTGTGTATACAGGGTTTATAAGGCGGTGGAATTCTAAAAAAAACCTGCTTTAGTTCAACGAAACTCTAGGCAGCGGGATTAGGCCTGTACATTATAAATTTGCCTACAACTGATAATTCTATTCAATACAATACAGTTGGCTTCTAACATACCTATCAAGGAGGTTGAAGCTTAATAACTAGAATAACTTCGTCGAGTATGTTCAGATAAAAGGAAAAAAGAAGTCACGCCATCAAAAGTACTTTTATAGTGTATTTCTAATGATTAGGCAGATAACCACGTTTTGAAAAACTGAACCGGTTATCTGTCTTTTATCTTCAGTGAGAATATTCCAGTTGGTAGAATCACTGATAGTAGATACCTTTATTATTTTGTCGGTGGCACAGCGGTTAGGGCGCTTGTCGACCATGCACATGGTCCGGCCCGGCCAATGCACACCTGATACCAATGGTCGGCCTGATACATTTTGGGCTATCGATATCACATGCTGAAAATTCCATACTCGTATCAAAAATACTGTGTGGAGTCAAGCTACAACAAAAATAAATAAAATAAAATAGTTTAACCTATCAACTTCCATGGGTGGTTATTTTCCTCCAGACATCTTTCAATGAATTCAGATTTATTTTATGAATTCATCGAAAGAGAGAATTTTGTCAACCCGACACCTAACACGAACTCGAAGACGTGAATTCACGTGAACGCAAATAAGACGGAGGCAATGAAAACAACCAATCGCCAGGATCAACAACAACAACAACAACAGGCTTCAATCACTATAAAAGGAATAAAAATGTCACTTCCTTCACTTATCTAGGACCAGACACATTGCACTAGTTATTGACTAGTGTCCAGTCAAAGTATACAATACAGTCCTCCTACAGAAGGTCAATCGCCAGCTTGAATAGCTTAATGGTTACGTCTCTGATTGCATAGCTGTGTGATCCGGCTTTTAATCTCAGAAGGGACATGTGTTCCTTCAAGGTTGCAGATACGCCTGTCTGACTTTTGGTTACCAACTAGCACGAAACCTAGGTCCGAGGTTTCCTGAAGATTAACTCCAACCATCTAATACCAACAATCCACAGTGCACCGTGATTGTGAGCTATCTAGAATAGTGACCACATTGCATACTCGACTGATAGAATTCAGTCTGCACCAAACATATGACTAGACACATTGCACTAGTTACCAAATAGTGTCCGATCAAAGCATCGTTTCAACTAAGCCATACCCCATGCAAGAGGCTGTCAAAGCCAGACAGGATCAGAAAGGCAAGACAGGCTTTTGTCATTCTGAAACCAGTTTGTAAATCTTCTTAACTCAGCATGAAGAAGAAGAAGATTAGGAATCTCAACACAAATGTAAGGTCACTTATCGCTTCTACATGGGCGAAAAACTTGGTGGGTGCGTTACGAAAAGCATTTCCAACAGCCACCTTCAGACTTTTACCAACATCTACTTGGCTGGCTTTATTCTGAAAGTCAAACAGCCAGAGAAAAATTAGCTACAAGAAACTCTGGCTGGGAACAAACCAACCAAAAGCTGATTGCTCAGGGAATATGTAGGAGAAAATAAAGACGGATGAGGTATACGCTGAAGTGACTGCTGAGTGACATCGCCTGCCAGATAATCCCTCGAGTGAAAGGTGAATGGAAAACGACTATTTGGGCCTTGATCCGTTGGGGATACGAACGAGATCATGTGAAGAGAGGATGTAAGCTTATGGTCATTCGTGGAGCCAGCTAGAACAGACTTCATAGAACACAATGAAATAAGGATGTGCTATTGAAGTCCTATGTTCCACTTGGGAGTCAAGGGGATAATAGTAATAGTAATATAAATAGTTACATGCCCAGACGTCGTCGAAGCATCTCAACAAGAAGCCGATATGTCAACATGACACCGAACACTTCAATCCAATCAATCGACGAGAAAATCTAAAATTCAATTATATAATTAATATGACCCGTTGCACAAGAGGTGGCCAGCTCTCGTGGTCCAAGTGGTCTAGTGGATAACGCTTTGGCGTTTGAAACTATTGACACTGGGTTTGAGCCTTGGTGGAAGCATCCTCACTCACTGGGGAATGCAGGTACATCCAGATAACAAGTCCCCAACAGGGTTAAATGCGCGTTATCCTGGATTCTATTGCTAGTCACCATCCACCAATTAACTTCTAAAAGTGACATCGTTTAAGCAACTTAAAATAACAACATATAATCAGTTAGAGAATAAAATATCGCCTTAAATACACCAACATACCTTGGTATTTACTTTCGAAATAAATATTCTGCTCAAGTGTACAGCTACCTGATATCCTAAATACGAAAGATGATTAGACGAAGGAATCAAGTCTGGTGACAGTTTGAAAAATAGTTATTTTTTCGACTCCGCTTAATTTACTTCCTTAAAATGTCATTCAGTAAATTCAGGTGACTACTTATCTTGCCCATAGGACAGAACTGTGACAGATTAAATCTTCACAAAAGTCCTACCTCAACAATTTGTAACTTGCCAAGAAGTTGAATTTATTTTTTTTTATTTTTTATTTACAGCTTGATTCCACACTGTATTTTCGGTACAAGTATGGAATTTTCAGCATGGATATCGGTAGCCCAAATTTTGCAGGCCGACCATAGATATCAGGTGTGCGCCGGCGTGGGCTCGAACCCTGGACCATGTGCATGATCGGCGAGAGTCCTAACCACTGTGCCACCGACGCACATTAGGCGTTTAGCTTGAGCGACGTATTTAACATGCACACTGGTCAGTGGACAGACATAGCCTTCAAGAGATTAAATATTTCTGCTTTCAGCCTTTTAACATAACTCATCGGAATGATTGTATTGTTAGCAGTGCTACGCACTATGTGTACATTGAATCAACCACAATCTTCAATTCGACAGTCATGAGCAACAGACAGCCGGAAGCAGAAACAAATAGTATTACAATGTCTGCATAGGATGGGGATAAAAGGTAATGCAAGGTGTTTTCGCGCATAGTATAGTAAACACCACAATAGATTTTTTAGCTGTGTAATAGAGAAGCTGATAAAACGAATTTGAAACAGTCAAACGTGACGCCAGGTATGTTTACAGCATTCTTCTATGCAAGCAACACAAACTCACATTGGACTAACTACCTAGAGAAATTCAAATCGTAACTGATCGGCACCGTCCTAAACATTCAGGTATACTGAAACGAAAGACAGCCAAGTTTGTTTTTCCATAACTTACATACCCAGTATTGCTCTCATCAATCAAAGAAAGGCAAAAGTCTAATGCTGTTTATCTCTTGGACATTTTATCCAGGATAGTTCATTTATTATTATAGAAAATCAAAAAAAGTGATTCAGCGAAGAGACTCTTTTCACCAACGAATTTATCATCAAGCTGTACAGTCGTATATATATGGTTTTTAAGAAGTTATATCCGGTGAGGGAATTGAAATTGAATTCCACTCGAACAATGGCCTGGCGTGTGATGTCATTAAGTGGCCTCCTCAATATACGCCCGATCCATCTCCCCTTTCTCGTACATAATTGTTGAGTGATCAGCTCTCGGTTGGGGAATTTATGATTGGTAATTTTTAATTCCTTTATGGATAAAATTTTATTTTAATAAAATCAAACAGTATTATACAGTATTGTCTACTGATGACGTTTTGAGCACAAATTATGGCTCATATCATATGATATCAAGGTACTCACATAACGTTTTTGCTTTAGTTATATACAATAGTGGAATTGATGATTAGACATTTGAATAAAATCAATACAATATAATGTACATTCAGAAATAATATTAGTGTTATGCAATCAAATAGTCAATAGTTAAATACACTCAGATAGGAAATAAAATGTTTTTATAGTCAAAATAAGTAACTTGTTCGAACGTTTCAATGTGAATTGAATATTATTATTAATATATCCTTTAATTCCTAGAGAAACATAGGGCTTCAGCTGTGCGTCTCTATTGCCTTCAGTTTTCTGCCAACGTTTTCACTCCGTCCAAGTCTACATGCTTTCATCTCCTCTTCACATGACCACCTCCAAGTCACCCTTGCACTGACGACCAACTTGCACCCGTTTCCCTTTTAGGGTTCCATTCGAGCGATGGCTTGTCTAGTGATGTCACTCACTTGATGGTTTCCTCAGCGTATGGCCAATCCATCCCCATTTCCTCCTGCCTATTTGTTTCACAATCGGTTCCTGTTTGTTTGGTTCGCTTATTGCCAGAGATCCTTGTTGCTGATCTTTTCTGATATTTTCGGTACAAATATGCAATTTTCAGCATGGATATCGGTAGCCCAAATTTTGCAGGTCGACCATAGATATCAGGTGTTCGTCGGCATGGGATCGAACCTCGGACCATGTGCATGGTCGGCGAGAGTCCTAACCACTGTGCTACCAACGCACCATCTGTATAGTAGCACTGACTGACTTCACATTGAAGCTGAAAATCCGGATCGTATTTTTGATCCTGAGTGATGTTGACCTCTACACAAACTTGAGAGTAATGAAAGCTTGTCTTGCTTTTCCGATCCTTGCTTTGATGTCCTTGTCAGTTCTATCCTCATGTAGTTGAAACGATGCTTCCCATGTCGGTAGGTAAAGGAGGCTGTTTCTTTCAGGTTCCTCCCAACTATGCTGGCTGATTGTTGTCTGATGTTGTTGCTGTTGGTGTTACTGTTGGCCGGGAATCTTCATCACGTCTGTTTCATCTATGTTCGCCTGAAGGCCTATC